CCAAATTGATTATATAAATAATAAAGACTGAATGTATAATAATGTCAATTCCTTTTAACTGCCACTTCATCATTTGTATCAATTGGTAACGACTAGTGGCTTAGTTGAAACAGTTAAATAATTATGTTGTATGATTGATAAATTTAAAAGATCGATGACAAAAGTAAAAAGGGCTAGATAGTTAAGTTGTCAACCTAGTAGTTTACACTTTTATTTATACGTCAAAATAACATTTTATAAATTTAAAATTCGAATTATTTTCAACCTCTTCTATATCCTAACTACTTTTTTTAATTAAAAAATTTCTTCAACATATAAGAATTATACTATTATATTTATATAAAAAATACGTATCACATGAAATAAGATGAAATTAAATAATAATAAATCTGACATAATTGAATTTAATTGAATTATTTTGGAATTTAGGGTTTAGAATGAAATTGAATTACTTTGGAAATTGGGGTTTAGAATGAAATTGAGGATTTTTTGCAAGTTTTAAAAGTTGGGGGACCTAAATTCAATTGTCTGAAAAGTTCAATAACCTTTTATATAATTTACCCTAATTTCTAACGGTGGTTTAAGTTGGGGGATCATATTGCAAACGGAATAAATGTTGGGGGACTGTATTGCAAGTTTTAAAAGTTGGGGGACCTAAATGCAAGCTTCAGAAATGTTCAGTGACCATTACTATACTTTACCCTAATTTAAATGATCGTGTTTTTGTTCACGTACATAGAGATGGGAAGTCAAAGATGTTGGTGTCCTTTTTTAAACGAATAATAATATTTTCGACTCCTTTTACCTCAAAGTAGTATTTGTGTTCAATGTCTGTTTTGTTTTGTTTTTAAAATAATTGTGTTCAATGTTAAATTTACCTAAACTCATTCATATATATATATATATAAGTAAATAAAATTATTCAAACTCAGATAATCTAAAGAAAAAAATAAGGTTAAAACCTGCGCTCCTTGCTCAAGTTTATTGCTTCTAATATTCTTTATAGTTTTTTTATATATATAATTCCTTCAACTGTCCTAACTGCACCCCTACACACAATTACATGTAGAGTTACACTTAAAATATAATATTTAGTGATTCCTTTTATTTCGTAAATAAAACTAACTAGCTTATATGGTATAGTGGATCCCAATTCGATGAATGCATTATGTTTTCCCACCAAATTATTATTTTAATTAGGGTTTTTTTGGAGTACAATGTTTGTTTTGCTATGTTCCAATTGTCAATTGGAAGCAATTGTGATTGAATAATTCATATAATTAATGGTGGCCCATCCCAAATTGTTGCTAAAATATTGTTGCAAAAGTTAAAAATGGAAACCCAAATATACCATATAGAGCTTGCTCACAAAGTTATATAGATATACGTGGTTAAAACATGCTCTGAATTTACTGGTTGAAATTATTTGGTTAAAATCAGGTTCATTTAGGTTTTCACCTAATCCTGGTTGGATATATATGAATGCGGATGGAGCAGTCTCGCTTACAGCTGGTGGTTTATTTTGAGATTTTTCTGGTACTGTTCTGTTGGTTTTCACTAAGCACATCAGACACTCTTCCGTGCTTAAGTTGAACTATGGAGAATTACGAAGGTTTGAAGTTTGCAGGAGCTCATGGTTTTAAAATTTTGATAGTACAAAGGGATAATGAAGATGCATATAGGTTGCTTTTTCCTCCATCCGAGATCAGTCCCTTCGCTTTGATGAGGGCGATTACTGATCTTTATGCCAAAGTCATAGATTTTCAGAAAATTCACTGATAAACAAATGGTGCAACAGACTTCATAACTAAGATGCACTCTTCCTCATATTGATCAACTATTGTTTTTCATCGTTCTCGCCGCAATTGCTTAATATCTTGGATAAAGACATCGACGGTCCCCTTACTTGCGCGTAAAGACTTAATGTAATAGCTTAGATCTTCTTCTTCCATTCAAATATATATATATATATATATATCAGGTCCGTTTACATTTTAAAATAAAGAATACTAACTTGGTATTTGATGACCATATAACAAAAGAGAGAGAGAGAGAGAGGATGTTTCGTAGTGGACATGAATTTAACAAAACTTTTTACGGATGTTAAATATTTGGACTTGAACGTTCAAATTCAACAGATAGAGGGACTAAATTCCTAAAAGTAAAAGTAAGAGATTAAATAATGGACATGCATTCAGACAAAAAGATAAGTGAGTGTTCACATGATCGTATCATAGACACCTTTTATATTTCCAAACCTTTAATAATTATTAATGAAATATGTTTATTTAAAAAAAAACATGAAATAATATTGGGAATGAAAATACAGTTTATGTCAATTAATCAATATCTAAATAGACAAATGCATGTTACCTTTAAGATAATATTAAGTTCATATTAGTTAATTAATCATAATAAAAACAAAAATTACACGGAATTGTAGATGCTAAGATGATCAATATATATTTTTTGGTAAAAATATTTCTTAAGTCCCTCTCAATTCTAAAATTAGTCTATGTCTTTGGAAGTAAGCATTTAAGGAAAGTGAATTATTAACGATTGGGTTAACACATTAGATTAAATCAAGATCTACAGCAGTCCTATTAATTATTTTGTGATCAATCGATAAAGTAAATAGATACAATGTAATTTCTGAAAGTTGCATTATCAAAATAAAATAAAAATGAAATAAGTGACCTTTTGTGTAGATTACCCTATAGTATATATTAATTTTATTTATTTATATTTTATGTGACATTGAGTACAGTCCTCGCTGGCCATTGAATGAGTGTCATGTGCGCCCTAAATGCACGCTGAACACTTCACCATTCTCACTGACTATGATCACAGACTTTCATCATCAAATAGGCAAAATATTCTTTTCTCATTGATTTACATAGGATCTTGTTTCTTTTATTATTTTATTTTATTTTCTGTGTACCTTGGATTTTATTTTATTAAATTAATCTTATCGATGAATCAACTTTTAATCACCAAATTTATAGGATCAATGGTTGTTGGAATAAGAGGTGAAGAATATGATATCTTTAAATGGAAAAAACAATGTTATAGATTATTTACATTTAAATATTTAGAAAATAATATTTAATATTATATGAATAATAAACGTTGAACAGTAAAAGAATAATATTAAAAAAATTAAGCTCTAACTAAAAATCATTAGTTTGATTTCCTATATTAATTAATTAAATCTCTACCCTTTTCGACGATTGGTGGGTCACAAGCACGTGTTTATCAAGATAAAATTTAATAAAAATGTTAATGCAGGATCGATTTTTTAATTAATATACAAGTAAATCGACAGGCAAAATCATAATTACGAGGTTTATTGAAGGTTGGATCAAATCTCACATAAATCTAGAAAATAATTACCAGCTGTTTAGTATTAAATAATTAAAAATATTTAATTAGGTTACAGAAGTGAATCATGGAGGCACTTCATTTTGATGATTTTTTACTTTTTAATTAATTATTTCTTATAAATATAAACAAATAACAGGCACTGGCAGGCATCAAAGAATTAATATACAGTTACAGTTCATGATAATATTCTTATTGTCTCTTGCTAAATATAAATAAATAAAATTAAAAGCCAAAGCTAATGATAATTAACCAAATAAAGTAGTAATCTTAAAATTAATTATTCTATATTATAAGCACGAATCAATTTACTTTAGTGGTTAACAGAATTGTTGTTGTTCTAATTTTTTTAGAGGTCATGGGTTCGAACACCAACGACTGCAATGGTGATTAAACATTCATTATCAAATAGTTAAGAATATTTAGAACATATACTATTATAAGGACATATGCTACTATTAAGAATTAATTATTTTCTATTATAAGGACTTGTGATACAATTAAGAATGAATAGGAGATTCGGGTCCAATTGATTTTGTTTCGATTCTATAAAATCATAATTTAAAAAAAAATCAAAGTGACCTGGTATAATAATATTCTTCTTCTTCATAAATTTAGAGATAATTGAAATAATACTCTTATCTCCATATTTTATCTAAAAATATCGAGATAATTATTTTTTATGTATTTAGAGACCTCTATTTTATTTAATAAAAATAAAATTATATATATAATTTATGTCAGGTCAAGTATGATTTTTTACTTAAAAAATCAGATTAGATATTAAATCAGATGAAACGGCTCTAAATTTATATTGAATTAAATAATAAACAAAAGAATATAATATTTAAATCAAATTCAGACTGACAAAAAAACTTAATCCAACTCATGTTCATTTCTAAACATGGACTGCACTAGCCAAAATATTGGAAAGAGCCTAGAGAAAATTATAAATAATAATCATTAAACTATAACTTATATAATATTATATTTAAAAATAATTTATAAAAATATTCAACAAATAATTATAATTTTTAATATAAATAGTTATAAATTAAATAATGAAGAGTTTTGGTATCCAAGATAACACGTGAGATGAGGTGCGAAGAACATGGTGTGTGTTCTTTTTGCTTTACTTAGACTTGACCGGTCAACCCTCCTAGCATTGCGTTCACGACCTTTAGTTTCATTTCTTTGGTTTTTATATAAGGGTTAGTCTAAATATACAAAATCTTTTATTAAACCTATTATTTTTTATCATTATAATTTTTTTATTAAAGCTTTTTAGATAGATGTAATGATTATGTAATGATTTTTTTTTTATTTTTATTAAAGTTTTATTTTTTTATTATTAAGTTTTTTTATTAAAGTATTTTTCATTTATTTCTTCAAAATGATAATAATTGTTTGGATTTATTTTTTTCGATCCGTTTGATTTTTCAGTATGTTGTTCGTGTTAGACTTGCGTAAATTTTTGACCTTTCGAAACGTTGATCGTAGATCCCGATCTCCATAAAGAGGCCACAAATCGTTCGGATTTATTTTATCCGATCCGTCACTGTCCACCGTACGATCGTTCTGATTTTTTCAGTATGTTGTTCGTGTTGACCTTGCGCAACTTTTCACCGTTCTAAACGTTGATCGGAGATCTCAATTGCCGGCGAAAATCCGACATAATGCAAGAAATGTTTTTTTTCTCTTTTTTCTCTTCAATTATTCTCTCTCCCGTATGCTCCTCATTCTTCTCTTTGATTTTTATGATGAATTTTAGTATAATGTGGTTGATGATTTAAAATAATAGGTAGTGAGTTTTTTAGTGGGGTTTTATTTAATGGGTAGTGGGAATATATAATAATTACATAAAAATATTATAAAATTATTAAAATAACTTCAAATATATCATTTTCGTTTAGATTATTATCAAATTTTTAGGGGGAAAGTAACTATTTATTATAAAAATATTTAAATAATTGTTGGAATATTTTTTCTTATATCCGACGATTATATCTAGCATATAATAAATTATTGTTTTTTTTTTCTAAAAAAATTGATTGTAGATTTGTAGGGAAATAATGATTTTTTTTACTTAAATATCACCAAACAAATGAATAGCGAAAATAATACTAGTTTTAGATTATTTTTGTTTTTCAAGTAACGTGTTTCTTTATCCTATATGATAAACAATGTTAAATCAAAATTAATCTGAAGTAAATGTTATTTTTTATATTAAATTTTGTTTTTGATGATATTTAAGTAAAAAACTTGAAATAATATGTGCTCATGTTGCATATTTAGTTCGTACATTAATCATCATTAATCTAATAATTATTGACAATCAACCAAGCACCTCCATCTCTGTTTTCTTTATTTCTTTCTCTGTTCGAATCACGATGTGCTCAGGTATAAATACTTTCAATATTTAAATATAAAAAAAATCATAAATTTTTTAATATGTGTTAATAGAAAAAGGAATTTTAGAAATATAAAAGATAACTTTCAAAATAAAATTATTATTGGGTAAAGTACATCTAAGGGTCCTCAACTGATTATTTTTGATCATTAAATTTTCTAATATTATAAAAAAAGTCATTAAAATTATCAAATTATTATAAAATGATTATTAAATTTTATCGAATTATTACAAATGCTCATGATATTTATCAAACTTATACACTTATTGCAATATCTCAAATATTATTTTGTAACAATTCAATAAATTTAATTATTATATTGCATCTTTTAAAAGTTTAACGACCAAAACGATAAGTTGAGTATAATTCAATGAATTTTTATATAATTTATCATTATTATTAAGTTGAAGTAAATTGGGAACAACCCAAATGAAAGACAGGATGGCATATCCAAGTGTGGGTTGAATCTTGTTGTGTGTATATTTTTAATTAATATTATTATTTACTCAAAAAAAACTCTATTTAAAGACAAAGGGGCTTTAAGCAAACTCCCATGCAAATTGTCCCCCTCTCCACTCCCCAACACACCTCCACTAGCTTTCCTTGATTTTTAACTCTCTCTCCCCCCCTATATATATATTCACACAACTATATCTCTTGTCCATAACTTGTCTCCCTTGCCACCATTCTTCTGTGTTCCTCAAAACTCATCTCTTTGCATTCACAAATTCTCACCTATATATAATAATTTGTGTGTGTTTGTTAAGTAATAATATATCCACGAGAAATATGTCAAGTAGAAGGTCAAGATCAAGACAAGCAGGGAATAATTCGAGAATAACAGATGATCAGATTAACGATCTTGTTTCTAAATTGCACCAACTTCTCCCTGAGATTCGCAATGTCCACTCTGATAAGGTATTTTTCAACTTTAATCCATTCTCTCACTATATTTGTGTATAATGTAGTTTAATTATTAAGGACCAAATCCTTGTTTATCTTATTCTTAATTTAAAAAGAAAAAGAAGAAAACATAGGTTATTCTTTTTTGAATAGTTGAGGAGATTACAAAGTAGTATTTGTTTAGAATCTTTCTTAATTATTGATAATGCATACATTACGTAAATGCAGCTGCTCAAACTTAAAACTTTTTACGGAGAACAACACTCTATTTAATCATTAAGGCCACTTGATGGGTGTAAAATAGAATTATTCTAAATATATTTAGACAATTTACTATGCATACATCTGGTATTCTATTTTATTATGGAATGTAGGAATAAATAAGTTAACAAATTAGGAGTTTCATAAGGCTACTTTCTGGTTAATTTCTTCATTTAGTTCCTTTATTTTGTGTAAATTATGTAATACAAGGACATAATTATGTAACCTTAATTTCCTATACCACTTTGCTAACATAATAAACTAGAGATGGTGATGATCTTTAAGTTTGATTATGGAGAGGTCAATTTAAATTATTATTTATATTCTTGAAATTATAATTGGTATGATATAAAATTGCCCCGAAAACAAGAAAAAAAGTAACAAGGAAATTATTTATTTTGTTAAGGACAATTTAAATGTACTTTTAATACAGTGGGATCCACTAATTGCGTAAAGTTCATTAATTTTACATGAAATAAGTCATTAGATGAACATAAATTGACGATTGAGAATAAAGTTTTTCTATCCTATTTTTCGATGCAAATTAGAAAAAAATATAATACTAATGCATAAGCTTTAATCTTAGTCATATATTTAGATTCATTCAATATTTATATAACTTTTTATGTAAAATTAAATAATTTTACTGAGTGCAAGCAGATGGAGTACTTCCCTTTATATATTGGAAAGCATTTACTCTGATGAAATTATTATTATCGATTTTAGTATTAGTGACGAATATTTTAAACAAAATTGCTTTTAGTGACACTAGTATTCCCGACGGGATTATTATTTACTGACTTTAGCTAAAATGTGTACTTCATTGATAGGTTTCAGCGGCCAAAGTGTTACAAGAGACATGCAACTACATTAGAAGCTTGCATAGAGAGGTTGATGATCTCAGTGAGAGATTGTCGGAGCTTTTAGCGACGACTGACAATGCTCAAGCAGCCATAATCCGAAGTTTGCTAATGCAATAGATCACTTTAAATTCATCGAAATGAGGGCCAATTTATATTAGGATTTTATGGCTTCACTACTTTCATTTTTGCCTTTTTGTATTAGGGTTTGCTTAGTTTATCCAACCCTTTTTTTTATTTCCTTGTATTTTTATTTTTCTATTTTATTTTTTTTAATTTCTTATCAAATTTTTATTATTAATAGTGGCGGCATTCGACGTTTTTTGTATAGTGTTATTTAAAAAGCCTAAATTTACGAGTAGCAACAGTGAGTTATGTATTTTGAGGGGACGTATAATAATTTTATCATTGTCTCGACCTATTTTTATTTTTATTTTTTATAGTATAACTAAAAAAATGTATTAAATACATTTTTCTTCTAAATAGTAACTGAATAATCTTTAATTAGTAATTATTATTATTATTATTATTATACTTGATCCACTGATCCAGCCTCCCCCAACGTGCAAACGTGATGTAGTCACCAATTTCAAGAACCAATTAATTAGTGGGTTGGTTTTAATATTATTAAGTTAAAAGTGTTTTTGTTCAAAATAAAAAATTAAAGAATTTAAATAAAAGATCAATCCTTGTTCTAAAATATAACTTGTTAATATAGATTATAAATTAATATAAATAATTTAAAAAATGTTAAAGAGTTTAAATAAAAGATAAATCTTCATTTTAAGACACAATTTGTTAATATAAGATTTAAAAATGACAGAAATGATTGCAATTGAAAATTTTATTAAGAATGTAACTTTTTAGATTGAATAAAATAATATTTTAGGTTGGACAGGTTGTAACTGAAAATATTACATTTTTCATAACATTTTCAGTTATAAACTCTAAACCCTAACTTTTATGTTACAGCCAAAAATGTTATAAATTTATATAATTTTTTAAATTAAAAATGATAACATTTTACATTAAAATCATCTTAAATTAACCTTAAATTAAACGCAAAACTACCATGAATAGCAACATGAGCTTATTTTAAAATATATTCATTAGTATGCCTATTGATATTAAATGATACCAAAATTTATCAATAACTGTGTTGATATTGTATGTAAATAATTATTTTTATATGTTAACTGAATAATTCTTTTTAGATAGATAAACAACAACAAAAATTAACCCATACAAATAATTATCCTTAATGTGTTTACAGAGTGGAAGACTAAGATGAGTCCCGAAATCTCTTATTCATTTGAAAGTTGTGATCTCTCTAATTATGTTTTCTTAGTTGGGAGTATGGGTGCAATTTTTCTCCTTTGTTTCGTGGAGGACGTATTTACATTTGATTTTTGTGATTTTTCTGATTTGCGGTTTGTTGGTAGTTTTTCAGTAGTTCCATTTTATTTTGTGTTCCGTTTACCGATGCGATTAGATCTATTTGTATCTATCTTTGTTCGAGTTTTCTTGGATAAATTTTAATATTTCCTTGTATGGTCCTTGTATAATCTTAAGTTATTAGTTTTGTTTCAATGATTATAGGAAATTGTCCTAAATATGTGCTTAATTTATGATTATGATTATAAATTTTTATTGTAATTTAATATATTTCCTATTTTGAATAAAATTAGTGATTTTTTAAAAAAAAATCAAATATATGATTATATACAATGATAGAGTTAAAAAATTTAAATTACAATATTTATTCATAATTTTTTATTAGTTATTGACAATGTGTATATATATTACATACGAAATTGTTCAAATTCGAAACGTCGAAACACTTTTTACTACTATAATCGCTTAATAATTTCATATATTTTGTATGAGTCTAGTTTAAGTGGTGAATTTTTCACCTCTTTCTTCAATGAAGATTTCTGTCCGAATCTTGTTTTTAAAGAGTATAGGTATAGCTCCAATTAAATGGATTGAAACTACTGGACCGGGCCGGTCTTTGATGGGTTTAAAACCGATCTACGATTGAACAAAACTAGGATGGAAACAAGACAACAAACAGTTTCGAGGAACAAATCGTCAACTAGTACGAGAGGGAAAGCAAAACAAAAGAATCAAATTCTTCATTGGTAATCAAAAAACATTTTATGTTTATTTCTGGGTTTCCTCCCAAAAGTTCAATCCAAATCCGTCGCTGGTAATCCAAAAGTTTCCATCCCATCTTCTTTCATGTTCATGTTTCCCTTGTTGGGTTTCTTTTCATTTCATTTTTTTCTGAATTAATTGTGCAGTTATTGGTAGATATTAGAAGAAGAAGAAGATGGTTCTGGTTTTGGCTTTGGGGGATCTGCATATACCTCATCGGGCGGCTGATCTCCCTCCGAAATTCAAGTCCATGCTTGTTCCTGGCAAGATCCAACATATCATTTGCACTGGCAATCTTTGCATCAAGGTATCCCATCTTTCTTTTTCTTTCTGGTATTTTTCCACACTGTTCTTCTATGGGTTTTATTCTAGTTGAATCTTACTTGAATTTGGGTTTCATGTTTCTCAGCTCAGTCTAATTGAAGCAATTGACTTTATTAATCCCCCCCCCTGAAACTATGGAGTATCCAGTCCTTGTTCAGGAATGCTAATTCTATGCTTGATTTAATCTGGATTTCATGTCTTTGCCCTAAGATATATTGTTTCCTACTTCATGCATTACAGCAGTGTGCTGTGTGCACAATATACGCGAGATTCTCTTTTTATTTTTTGTCATGTTTATAGTTTGCCTTCGGGAGAAGCAGCAGAAACTACCGTATTCTGCTGTTAATATTTTAACTGATCATCGATAATCGTTTCATTTGATCATTGTAATTTTTTATCTAAATATCTTTGCTGCTGTATATCATTTGTCACCTTGATTTATATAACATGCAATGAATGGCATTCCCTTTGCCCTGTATTGTTTGGTCTCAAATGCAAATATGCTATCTTGGCCAAACTTGCTATGAGGTTCGGTACGTTGGTTTGTGTTCAAGTTTGTTCGATTTTTTGTAAAAATTGTTTTTCCATATATTTGGAGGACAGCAACTCATTCCTCCAAATATGTTAACATAGCATTAAGTAGTTATCTTGTTTTGCTCTCCGGTACTGCTAAAGGGGTTACTTAGCATAGCAGAAGCTAATGTCCTAAGTTTAAGCTGTCTTTCTCTTATTTGCATAGTCGGTGAAGTATTCGAATGAATTGATTTGTTAGCTTCAGCTTTACAGAAACTACCCCATGGTAAAATGTTAACAATTTACATTTTATAGTTCCCATTTATCTTATTAAAATTACCACTGGCTTAGCGAAATCGAACTAAAATTTCAGGAAGTTCAAGAGTACTTGAAGACTCTCTGTCCTGACCTGCATATTACCAGAGGTGAATACGATGACGAAACAAGATATCCCGAGACCAAAACTCTAACTATTGGACAATTCAAATTGGGATTGTGCCATGGTCATCAGGTGTGGTTTCTTTTGTACCTTGAATCGTTTTTTTCTTCTTTCCGATGGAATGTTGACTGACTCTTCATTTTAAATCAGTAATTAGTTTGCAATAGATGTGGATTATATAAATTTATAAAGCATGCATCTCCCGCTGTTGTGAAAATTATGTGCATTCATGCTAATGATGTTACCTGCACCTATGTTGCTCAGTCTCAAGAGTGAAATATCGGATACAGGAATTTGTACTACACGAATATGCTCATTCTTTTTTTTCTAGTTTCCCCATGTATTTGAAGGATCCATGGAGGGTTATATCTCCGAACCTATGTTGATATGCACATTTCAGACAATACTAATCACTCTTAATGTGGCTCCATACATCAAGGTTATTCCCTGGGGTGACCTAGACTCCTTAGCCATGCTACAGCGGCAACTCGATGTAGACATACTCGTGACAGGTCACACCCACCAGTTTACTGCATACA